CTCAGAGGTAGAGAAAATCAGAATTTCAGGAAAATATACACCAGGTGATGAAAAGTACTGGGAAGGAGTGAGAGGATGACGAAGAGTCTGTAGATGTGAAAACTTAAAAACAACTGAAGCTCAGGGATATCAAAGATCTGGGGCTGGACAATTCGACTGAAAAATGTTATCAAGACACCAGCGTTTCGTATCAGTCAATAGGCAATTATTGATTTTGTTTTAAATATCAGAAATATTGCCAAACTGGTGGTGTGATTTTTCCTGTTTTATTTATACTTTTCACTCCACACTTTTTATTAATTTATTTATTTGGCTCTAGTGGCCTTTATTTGATAGTTAATTGACAGGAAAGTGGGTAATGAGAGAAAGGGGAAGACATGCAGCAAGGGCTGCAAGGCCGAGAATTGAACCTGCGACGGCTGCATCGAGGACTAAGGCCTCCTCCATATGTGGGTTGTGCTTAACCCCTGCGCCACCACAGCACACCCCACACCTTTTTATTTTTAAGCCTTTACTTAAACTACTGCTGCGCCAATTACTCAACAAGTTGTTGCTAGGTAACCACAAGTTTCTCAGCAGGTTGTTGCTAGGTAACCAATAGTTAGTGAGTGAGTTAGTTAGTTGATGCCACCAGCGTAGCTTAGCTGGCTATGAGAGGTTAAAACTTTTCCTCTGACTACATCTCCCAGAATGCTGTGCGGTTCTGGATCCAGATTTTAAAAAATATTCAATATTCTATCAGATGTATTGATACTGATCACAGGTCTATCGCATTATATATCGATTTGTTGTCCAGCTGCACCCACATCTCACTTAAAGTCCAACCACTCATTAATCTGTTTTACTGCGTTTCTGACATGCATGCAGCCACATTTCCTCCAAACTCAACTGAACAGTCTAGACTTGGTGTCATGGTGGCCAGCTGAGTTGTGTCTTCAATTGGTTTTCTTTCCCATTAAAGAGGCGGCTGAAGAGTGTGAGAGAGAATAGTGGTGGTGCTGCTTCCTTAGACTTGAATGAATTCCTCCACCGGCCTTCCTGCTCAGCCTGTCGGGAGCCAATTATGAGCAGCAGCAGACTTTCTGATTAACACACGACCGCCGCCAGAGGAGACGCAGAAAAAACCTGCTCGTATGGATTGAAAACACCCGTTATCACCGTGTTCTCTCGTGTGAGTTATCAGCCACATTAGACCGTTAGCCATAAAGATCAGGCAACTGTGCAAAACATGTGGCTCAATTATCGCATAGGGTCCACACAATGACTCAACGGACACAAATTCAAAGCTGCTGCAGGCTCTCCATTCACCTGCTGAAAGTCTTTTCAAACAGAAGCGAGTCGTGAAGGGAGGAGCGAAATCAGAACAAAGACCCAGACAACAAACTGAACTCAGGTCACTGATTAACCAGACTAAAACCAGAACAACATCAGCCCCTCTTCTGTTTGAATGAATCGCTGTGCTTTCAAAAGCAACAATAACTTAAGTCTGAATGGGCCAGAGACCCACACTGAGGCAAACCAGGGATTTAAAATGCTGCGGATTCAAAGCTTGACAGGAAAAACACCGGAGTTACTGGATTTATTTTTTTATTTTGACTGGAAGAACTAGAGTTTGGGTCGCAGCACTACTTGGTTTACGCATGAGCAGGGTCTTTCACAGACTGCCTCTAGGGGGAGCTAGAGCGCAAAGAGGAAAACGTGCCCCTCTGAAATCTACTTTAAGTGCATTGTGTGAAGCTAAAGGCAGCATCAACAAAGATTCATTTTCCAACTCATTTAAATCAGGAGAAAACTCATAAATCTTTGGGCTAGTCAAGTCTTTACCACTTTTTCTCAATTTTGTTTGTAAATTTGCAGATTTCAATTTAATCCAATTCATTTATTTATAAAGCGCCAATTCACAGAAGAAATAAACACACGCTCACCCCACAGTCTGGGTCACAAGCTCCTGTTGCTTTCATCCTGAAAACACTCCTCAGCTTGTAGCACCATACTGCCTGTCAGCTGGCTGAAGGAAGGCTACGACTTCTTACAAAAAGAAAGAAATTCAGATATTTGGAAATGTGTCCGATCTAACCAGGAGATCCAAACACTCGCGTTCGGACCATTTTAAATCTGCAGCTGGTGAGAAACAAGGAGTTTCTCTACTCAGCAGCCGACTGCAGGCTGCACTCAAGGCAAAAGAGATTAATTAACCTACTTAGTATCAGCAGCAACTTGACAAAAAGGTTAATAATATTGCAACGAGCACATTTACTCAAACCGTTACCAAGTTTAGTGTGTTACAGCGGCTGGATGATTATTTCACATTGTTCCATACGTTTACACATCACTAAGACAGTAAACAGTAATTAGATTGACCTTATTAATACTGTAGCAACAATCGACATCAAACTGACAGCATTTTAAATATTAAATCAAAAATAAGTAGGTTAATAAATGAGCAAATTATATGTAAAAACAATCCAAATAGTAAAAGTAGGACTTTGTGAGGTTACCTGATTAAAAAACTAAATTTAAATAAAGTAATTTCTTGGTGAAACTGTTATGCATGATCTAAACCAGAACAAAGATATAAAACTAAAACATAAATCCAACAGACGAGACATTAAGGTGATTAATGTCTTATATCACCTCAATAATGGCATTAGAAATAATTGTTTTTCTTTTTTGAATAAAGGCTTTTGCAGCAATAGACGATAATAACGTCTTTTCATGCCTGATTGCAACTTTACCTTAATTCTAACTTGACATTAAGAGATAATTTTCCTAAGACTCCTCTTGCTGAGTCTTCACTTCGCTGATAAAACACAGAAGCAAACAGCCACTCCCAAAGTACAGGCCATCCTTCAGTCACAATCACACAAACCAATTAATGTCACTTTGTCCCAAAACTGCGGAGACAGAGACAAATTAATAAAAAGAAGAAGCTGTCCTTCAGGTCTTATACTCACACAGTTGGTCTGTCCAACTATTTTAACTATTCCTGGTCCCTTCAGGCCACGCAGCTGATAAAAAAGCAGCTTCACGGGGCCAATGGCTCTCGTGGGACACAGTGGAAGAATTAGCAGCCAGATGCCCATTAGACAGAGATCCAGCAGACATGTGCTGGCTGGGAGGAACTGTGCATCACACTTCCAGTTCCTCCTCTCTTTATGCCTCCGCCGTCGCTCCAGAGGCAAAGAAGGAGGGACGAGGAGCAGGGGGAAAAAAAGAAAGCATTTTACAGCCTCCGCTTGTGAAAAGCAAAGACACCCCTCCTCCTCTTCCAAACAATTTAACAATGGTGCAACTCCTCTGAATTGCCTGCTCAGTGACCTGCAGCCAAAACATCGACATGTTGCAGAGTGCGTGCGCTGGGACAGGTGGCCACCCGCTGAACGGATTGTTTTAACGCCGCCGTTGGGCTACCTTCACTTCGCTGAGGAGAAAGCAACGCCTCCCGCGTTTTAACCTTGCCCCTCAAGTCAAAGCACACAGTTTTTGAGCACAACCTTGTGATTTATTTACACAGTTCTGCTCTCAGAATAAGAACAATCATTTCACTGTTGCTGCCCTCTCCCAACGACTCAAACCACAGAAAATATCCTGTTGGAGCCGTTTCTTCAGAATCTGAAATATTCAACACGGCACCGGGTGGCTTCGGGTTTGGCTCTGTTGACCAAGACTTTTATCACAATATTTTTGCAGAACTATTTAACAATAAAAAGTGATGATGCATCTTTTTTTTCGTCAACTCTGTGACTGAGTCATGGCAATTATAGCCCCACAAACACAAACAATGCTGCTAAAAAACATCCATTAATGTGTAAAGAAGTAACTGTATTTTCAAATTTATTGGTTGTTTTTATGCTTTCCTTCAACAAACAGTGGAGGAAATGGTAAAACTATGAATCTTGATAACAGGGACAGTTTAATGGGTTTGTAAACATCATTAATGGGAATTTATTGTGACAAGAATAAATCAAAATTCTTATAATGACAAGAATTCATCATGATAAATGATAAACAATATGATAAGAGTCAGCTTTTCCTCTCCAGCTGGAGGAGAGAGAAATCAAAGCTGGTGGTCTTCTAGCCGGTCACCTGCGCTGCTGGGAGGGCACAGGGTTAATTGTGTGTGTGTGTGCGCGCGTGTGTGAGTGAAAGAAATTAATGAAAGCATGACAGTTATCAATCAATACTGAGTCTTCCAGAAAATGATGACAGAGAATCAATTTAAAAGTGAGGGAGTTAAAGTCAACAAGTCTGGACTTTGTAATTTATCAGAACAGGACTCCATGAAGTAATCTAATGAGCAAAAGAATTTAAAAACATCATTGCATTTATTAGTCAGTTCACGACACAAATGTACTTCTTATAGTCGACTGGCAGGAAGAAATGCATGCAAAACACGCTGCTTTATGCCAGAAAACTAATCCGAATCTCTCCATCCCGTACCAGGGAACATGGAGGTGGCAGCATCATGCTGTGGGGAGGCTTTTCTTTGAGCTTGCACAGTTAATAAGACAGATTTTGTTATATTTGGCTAAACCTGATGAAGAAACTAGTTAGTGGCCGTAACGTAATCGAAGTCCGCCAAGTTCCCTTCAATGGGATTTGCTTAGAATAAATTATTCTCATGTGTTGAATGATTAAGGTGAAGTCCGGACTTAAAATATAAACATGCCCCAGATCCTGACTGGTCAACAAGTCAACACCATGATGCGCCCAGTCGGAATATTTCTGTTACGCAGTCGCTGGATCCCCAAATGCGTCCCCCCGCACAAACGCGCATAAAACGGGGCGCATTGCTGGGAGCTGATCCGCGCGTCTACGAGCCTGTGGCCGATGTCCAGATCACACCGAGACTCACAGACGCCAAGCCAAGACAGACAGACAAACACACGGGCAGCAGGCTGGAAATATCCACTGCAATATTATTATAGTCGCTTATTATGGAGTAAACGCAAAGAGAGGAGGAAAGCGCATGGCATTACGCGAGTTTTATCTGCACTTACCTTAGAAAAACAGGGAGAAGAGTGTCGTAACACCGGTCCAAACTTTGGGGATAAGCTGTATTTATACAGCGACGCCTTTAACTACTAGTCCACCAGAATAATTCAGAATAATCCAAGAGTCCGAAGTCTGTAGTTCAGCCAAAACTCAGAAAACAGTCAAATGTTCTTGTTGTAAGCGTCGACTTCCACTTGTCACTCCAAAGACACAGATATTTAAGACTTGTCAACAAAGAAGGACGGCCATATATGAGCTACACCATGGAGGAGCGCACCGTGGAAGGTCTCCGCTCCTTGATCGCTCTCTGAATGTGAGCCCCAGTCACACCGCCTGCTCTCCGGGCTCCGCAGCCGGGCCAGCAGGCGCCGCCAGGTGCTCATTTACATAACTGCACCGGCTGTGTCCAATCACAGCTGCAAGCAAGGTGTCTGATTGAATATTCCAGCATGCAGCTCAGCCAATCAGAGCCGTCTGGGGGAGGGAGTTACGTACTAAACAACAGCAGAGAAGCGCGCAGGAAAGGCAACTATAATGAGTAATTTAGAGTAACCAATTAACTTTACGTGCATGTTATTCTGGAGTGTGGGATGAAGAGGGGTCGCCTCTTCCAGAGCGAACAGACAGGATGTTGGGATCGGCATGAAAAATAATATTAATAATAATAAAAAAAGAAAACATTAAACCTGCAGGACTGACAAGGTCATCAAGACTAAGATCGCAGTGAAACAGGCAGAGAAATTGATCATTTCACAGAAGGAACCAGAAAAAACAGCGAAACCAGAGGGATAAACACTGAGAAAGGTGTGGAGAATAACATTAGATACAGGTGAGGAATAATGATTCACTGTGGAAGAGAACCAGCTAGCATGTTGAGAAAAGATAAACATTTTACACAGGAAGCCTAAACTAGGACTCAAAGGTTACAAACTAGAGGGGAAATAAAAACACAAATAAATCAGAACAAAATCCAAAGGCTAGATAGAACAGAACACAACTAAATACAAAATAGATTATTTTATCTTAACTCGGTATCTATATTATCTCAATAATATAGATAGTATTGTATCTGTATTAGATTGATACGAGATCGATACCTGCATACCCCCTTATGAAATCTTATTTTAGTTTTGTGTCATAGTTTTGTGTCATTTTGTTTATTGTTTATCTTGTTAATTTTATACACAGTTCTAAACTTTGTTCAAATTCTTTCTAAGGTTTTGACAATATAATTCAAAGGAAAAAAAAAATCACCAAAACACCTCAGTGTCATAAAGTTTGATGTATCAAACTATTAGAATAAAAAGCATCTCTATCAGTATCAACATCAGTGAGACTGGCCCTGTATTTGTTTCCATACCAAAATATGCAGTATGGCGACACCTGTAATACAAAATAATAATGAACTGAATATGGCAAGACCTGTTGAGCAATAACAAAGGAACCCAAACATAAATAAAACCCAAATTATTAACTAGCTGGCTAATTTTATCTGAAATGCTAACATTAGCATGTTTGCTACTAAAGGCTAATGTTATCTACTCTGCTAAAGGTGATTCACTTGCTAAACTTGGACACTAATCTTGAATTAGCTAACTAACTAATGTTTGATAGTACCATAACAATAGCATAGTAGCTTATAGAAGCTTATGTGCTCAAATAAGATAAAGTTATAGCAACAGTTAACTAGCTAACTTTAACTGATATAACAATGGCATTTTAGCTATGAGTAGCTAATTTCAGCAACTATGCTAAATGGTTATTTACATTCATTTACATGGTAAAATTATGGTTGCTAAATACTGAACTTTATCAAATACTGTAATGTTAGCTTCCAAAAGCTAATTTCAGGTACTATGTCAGTGGCAATGCATATGTTAAAATCAGATGAAATTCAAGAATGACCAAATTAGATGGCATTTTAGTTACCAATAGCTAATTTTAGAAATTGTGCACATTTTTATTTACATGCTGAAGTTAAGCTAATATTCGCTAATCAGAAAACTTTAGCTAATGTTTTAACATTACCTTGTTGGCTAGCATTAGCTAACTTTAGCTACACAGCTAACCAAGAAAGGGTAAATTGTTTAATAATACATGTACTATAAGTTGTAAACATATGAAGTCATAGACGTAAAGAGCTGAAATAGTGCCAAGGTTGTAGACGTAGCTGCATGCCAAGACAGTTGTAAAAGACAGAGAATCTTAAACATGCTTTCACATAACAAGAACAATTTGGTGTAGTTTCAGTTCAGCACCAGTACAATTTAAACGTGGGTCATGTGATCTAGAACTGATGCATGTAAAGGAAATTGTTTCAGCTGCTCATTGAAGTAGATTTATAAACTTTTAAACTGTTTAAATAATCAGCAGTAAAAGTCTCTGCATCTGGCCAGGCCCATTCATTGTGGACCCTGTACTCAACGACAGTATTCATCTCTTAAGGCAACTTTATTACAGAGTATTGGTGGAGTAACTGTATACTATTACTGCCTCTTGGCTATAATAACTTACAATGAAGGGTTAGTTGGAAAGCAGAGCTGCAGCCAGGCCAGTTGTTGATATGGGACCCCGAGGCAACGCAACGCGGGGCTGAGACTGGATTTCATGTTTAAAAAGAGCCACATGTGTGAATTTCTATGCTGCATAACATCAAAAGTGAACAAGACAGACTGAAGCAGATTAGAAAAGAGGCTTTAATGCAGGTGGAGAGCTTGTTGATGCTTGTCTGGCAGGGAGGAGAGAAACTTTAGCTGGAGCTCAATCAGCAACCAGGGACAATAAAGGTCATTTACTCACTGAGCTCCACCTTGGATAAACTAGGAAGGGGAACTCCTAAAAAAACTTTGTGCTTTCTTTGCTGTTTTGTGTTTAAACTTGTTCACTTTGTCCAGTGAAATCTTGAAAATAACTCCTTGCCAGTTCTGTACCGATAAGATCTCACAGAAAATGAATTAAAATACACAGTCCATTTTTACAGTGTTCAGTCATTTAACACTCACAAAGTGTTGTATTAAAACTAGAAACTTTTGTGTATCTTATTGGATGTTTTGATAAACCAACACAAAGGAGAGCATAGACATGAATTTGACAGAAAACATTAAAAATCTGAAAAATACAGCATGCATATCTGTTCAAACCTGAGTTAAATGTTTTAGAGCCGCCAGCCAACAGAGACCGTTCCTGCATGTTTTTTTTAAATTATATTGTTTTTATAAAATAACAATGACCATTGTGTTAAGATAATGAGATGATTTCTCCCATTTTCACAAGAAGACGCGGTTTTCTCGAGATAAAGATGCTAATCTTTTCTTGAATGCTCCTAATTGTTCTTTAAACCTTCCCAAGAACGGACTGAAGCTGAAAACGTCAAAGAACTTGACATCGATTACGACTAACACTTAAAATTTCTCTCCTGTTGTTGTGGCACGCATTTGAAGGATGGAATCAGGTTTAACACACGTACAAGTTTAACACACCAGTCATCTTATCACGAGAAACAAGATGAAAAGTCCGTCTTCAGCGTTTGTACAAATTACATCTGTGAGTTTTTTTTAAAGTTTAAACTGCTGAGCATAGTAGCTCATGTCGCCCTTCACTGTAAAATATCTCAGTCAAACTGGAAGGAGAAAGTTTGTGATTACTTATCTTCATGTTTTGCCAAAGACTTTCAATTATCTAATTGAGCTGGACTTTGACTGGGCCATTTTAATACATCCTTATGCTTTGATTTTAGAGTGTTTTTAAGGGTTATTGTTCTGCTGAAGGGTGAACCTTGACCTCTCGAGTCTTCTTACAGGATGTCCTGCAGGATTGCTCTTCCTGTTATGCTCCATACATCGTGTCAGTCTTTCATAAAGCTTAGATTCAGACCTGGAAAAAAATGAAGAATCCACTGCAGTGAAAACCATTGAAAACCTCCTGGTTATTCCACCAAATATTGATTTCTGAGTTAAAACATCAGTGTTGTTGTTTCTAAATGAACATCAACTTGTTTTCTTTGCTTTATTTGAGGTCTGATAGCACTGCATCTTTTTAGTTATTTTGACCATTTCTCATTTTCTGCAAATAAATACTAAATTTCTACTTGTAACTTCAGAGACATGTTGTCAGTAGTTCATAGAATAAAATGACAAAGCTCATTTTACTCAAACATTTACCTATAAAATGATCAGAGAAACTGATCATTTTGCAGTCATCTCTTCATTTTTTCCAGAGCTGTATAGTTAAAACCAGAAGTTTCCATACACCAACTAAAACGACACTCAGACAGTATCAGATTATGGAGGATTAAATACAAATGCACACCACACTTTTCAGAAGATTATGATGGATTAATGTGGTAAATTTAACAAGACTGCTTCCTATAATCTAGAAAAGAGACATAGATTTGCACACATTTAATGTTTGTGTGTCGACTGAAGTGTTTTAGAGTTTGCACACTTGATATCTGCCTTCCCTTGTTTCTGCTTCACTGATGCCATGTTTTCATCAGCCGCTCTCCCTTCCGCCCCCTCGCCATCTCCATCACTGTTTCCAACTTTTCTTTTGGCTTAAAAATAAAAAGAGTTGTGCTGAATTTTCATCTGGCGTAGCCTCTGCTCTCCCTGCATGTCATTAACGTTCTCTCATCACTTTTCAGTTCACGGCTACAGCAAACCAAACGCTTGTTTCTTTGCTCTTTTCTTCTCAAACTGCAGCAATTAAAATGTGAAGCTGCATGTCTTAATCTGTGAATTAAGGGATGCAACAGAGAAAAAGGTGATTATTCGGTGACATCAGCAAGAAACTGATTCCCAGAATTCATCCAGTTGATGAGTGCAGTAACTCCCGGCTCTGTTATTCTTTTCCCAAAAGCCGTCCCCTTTGCCTTTCAGCTCGTTTTTGTCGTGCACATCGTCCAACAGGCTCTGCTTTGTTAGTTGTCTGGGCAACTGCAAATCCCCTGGCAAAAATTATGACCTTTTTTTTCCTGCATTATTCTCCTTCTACCCTCTCTCTTATTCTTGTTTACGCCTCACTTCTGCTTTTGCCTGGATCCTTTTTTTTTTTTTCTTGATATTTCTCATTTCGGGTCTTTTTCCACACAACTCTCCCGGTTTCTCTGTCGAGTTTTGCTTTGTTGCTAATGCTGCTCCCCCCCCTCCTTCCTCCTCTCCTCCCTCTTCAACTCTGAGTGAAAACCAGTGGAGCATAAAAAGCAGGTCTGATCCTGTGAGGAATTCACACAGTGAATTCACGCAGCGAGAAATGAACGGGGAGGGAATAAAAGAGAAAAAGTTGTACTGCACTTATGAGGCTGCAATGACGGCAGACCGCTTAGTGCCGAGAAAAGAAAGCGTTACCTGAAGCATCAATG